TTTATCTACACATGGGGAGCAACTGGGGAGTAGGAAACAAAATCTAGATGCTAAAAGCAATTCTGATTTTCTTTGGAATATATTTTATTAAACCTTAGTATTAGATTTTTCACAAGTGCTGAGCAGTCATGGATCTCTTCGTGAAGGGGAACAGAAGTTGTTCTGGGTTGTGGCTTCAAAAGCATCTATTTGTTCATCTGATTTTACACTGACTTACTCTGATTCAGCTGTGTGTGCATTTGAGTTTTCAGCATGTTATTTTCTTAAAATAGTTACAGTCATTTGCCTCACATTGATGCTATGCAGAGTAATGTGGCCTTGAAATTTATTCTTGAAGGACTTGCTGAGTAACTAGGGATTTCTTCACAATTAAATCTTTAATAAGGTCATAATTCATATCTTCAGGGCACTGCATAAATACTAATTTTCATAATCCCCCTGTGGATAGTGCAAGCAACTATTGTCCCCGTTCTCCTGTTGGTAAAACTGAGAATGAGTCAAAAACACTTTCCAGAGGCTGCAGGAAAGATGAGTAGCTGAAGGTAGGGTTAGAGTTTAGAAGGTCCCTGGTCCTCAGGACATCATATTTGGCAGCTTCTTCTCAATGTACAGAATTATTGCGCTTTGTAGTGTGGATGGATGTGCTGTGAGGACTGCAGCTGCTTTCTTTCCAAGTTGTAGACTATAAAACTAGGCAATAAAATGTGTTACTTTGCATAGCAAACAGGAACTCTATTTTTAGAATAGCTTTGTCCAATGTTCCTCCTTTCTGTGTGCAGTCAGGACACCTACAATGAAGACTGTCAGTCTCCCTGATAATCTGGTTATGCAGTAACTAAGAATTCTAAACGTAACAAAGGTCAGAAGACTTTTTCTGCTGTTTGCCCTAATAGTGCCTGGCCACCTGATGATGTATAAAATCTTCAGAAGGCAGTATAGGTGCATATAGCACACTGTCTGGAGGAGGGAAGTCATGTGTGCGTGTTGGAAAATGCTACTGATGAAAATCACTGGACAGAGGTTGCGCAGGCACTACTTTCTGTGTGGCTTCTTAAATGAACAGCAGGTGCGTGCAGGTTCCTCCGCATTTCCTAGCAGCAAGAAGGAAGGTGCACAGGCTGGGTGCAGGCAGCTCTCCGAAAGAAGAGATACATGTCTGCTGTTATGAGGCACTTGCAGGTTGGATGCTTGAAATAAATGCTTTTATGAAGTTGGTGTGTACAAAGTACCAAATTCAGATCTGCTCTTTGAACCTGTTTCTTTCGCTCAAGGTGAAGAAAAGGTTATTCTTTTGGAGTGGGATTTTTCTGTCTTTGAGGCTTAGAGAACTTGTCGCATACTGTCTCCACCCTCAAAGGATAATGCAAGTGAAATAATTATGCCTAAATATTCTTTATCTTTCTCTCAGCTTTTAGAAGATGATCCATGGCCACGACTGAATGCTTCTGAGCCTGTTCCTCCCCTCACGCATAGCAACATGATCTCAGAAAAATATTCAGAGCTGCCAAACGAGATTGCCAAAAGCAATTCACCTTCATCAGGAGCGACCCTGAAGGATTCAGGCCCACAGGAGGAGAAGTGCAGCAAAGCGTTGGCTTTGAGGATACAAGAATCCTACAGCAATGGTTTGTCAGTCGGCCTTTCCCCTTCCAACTCCGCAAATTCAGGCACGGACCAAAAAGGCTTCAAGGTGTCTCCTAATGGCCAAACAAAAGCCCAAGATGCAGAGAGGACACCCACAGCAAACTTTAAAAGGACATTGGAAGAATCCAACTCTGGCCCAGCTATGAAGAAGCCAAGACGTGGGCTGAGTCGAAACATTAGTGTCCAGCCAGAAGGCATGTCCACAACTCCCCAGCGCAAGAACTCAAAGCTGACCATGCGACGCAGCCTGCGGGGCCAGAAGAAGCTCAGCAGTTCCCTCTTCCACCCGCCCAGGAAAGCAGTCTGCGTTTGCTGAAGGGCATTTTGTGTAAGGAAGTGTATTTTGGTCTGATTAGAATTTGAAAGTTGGTGCAAAAGTTTGAAACTCTTCCTGTTTATCTTTTTTTAAAGTAGAAACTTTTTTTGGTATCAAACAGCTTTATCCCAGCCTTGTACTCGCTTGTATTATAACTGTGAATTTTGTAGATGTGTAGGGTATAAGTCACTGTAAAATGTGTGTAAATTTGTATTCCTTCATATAAATGTAGTCTCTTTTCTTCCTTGTATAATTGTTACAGCGGGGCTAAACCTTGTTTAAAAAAAAAATAATCTTTTTTGTTAATTTACTAAAGTCATGAATTTGTATACGCTTCTTGTGATGAGAATTTCACAACTTTTTAACGAAAGTAAATTATTAAACAGAATGGAAGATATGTATTTTCGTAGTACTATACGTTCCACCTAAAAGTGTGTCTTTTAGAGAATACACTAGGTCTATATTTTGTTTTTAAATTTTAGATTTCTCTACTCAAATGAAATGTATGTGAAAGCAGAGATGTTGAGTCTCGCTTTACACAGCTCAATGTCAACTCCTTTATGTTAATTAAAATACTATGCAGTATCTTATTTAGTTGTATTTTTTGTAACATTAATCGTCAGAGTATTTAGCAAAAAAAAGTGTGTGTTTTAAACTCCAACTCCCAAAAGCATCCTCTAAAGCCATTCCCATCCCTTGTTATAAATGATGGCATTTTTATCCAGGCATAAATGTATGCCCTGCAGAGGCATGAATTTTCTGCTAGTCCAATACTGATGGTGCTGCTACTACCTTTCAACATTAAGTTCTTAAATTATTTTATGACTATTTTCATTGAGTATGTGGACCATGTGTATGTTCACCTAAATAAAACACGTGTAAAATCGATGGGGGTGCCTTTTTTTATTTTCAAGCTTAAATTCTGTTGACCACATTAATTTTTATTTTGTATTCGGTAAAAATCTAATACTCTCCCCTTCTCCACTGTGGCTCTGTGGCTTACCAAACAATACATCCCACATAGTTTTATTGTGGAACTGATCTTGGCATTTTATAGTCAGTGTTTAACTGTAGCAATACATAACCTGCATCATTTTTTTTTTTTTAATGGGGAAGTGAAGGCTACTATTTTATTCCAATGGATAGGTTGGTTATTTATAGAATCTAATTCTTTACTGCTGGAACAATAAAACATGGGTTGAAATCAGGCCTGCTATCTATATATGTTACCATGGTTACAGAAATCCTAAGGGGAATCGTAGGCTTTCTGAAAATGTATAATTCTCTTTCATCCAGCCTGTGAATGCAGCACTATCTGACAAGATGAAAATAACAGTCTGTCCAAAGTGGATCCTTGATGAATTTGTTTCTGTGTATATGGGATGTAACTTAGTAAAGGTATGCTGTAAGTGATGTTGAAATTAAGCATCATAGATGTGGAGGGGGGAAGGATATAGAGGCTAGCAGCAGCTCTGTGTACTTACCCAGCAACAATCTTTACAAACAACACACTAAGACAGTGATTGTCTGCTTTCAACTGAACCTCATGGTATTCAACCTTTTAAAGACTGGTCACAATCAAGATGCAAGTGTAACATGTTAGATGAGTATCTGTATTGCTGCTTAGAATGTAAATATGCAAAAGAAAAAATACTACAGCAAATTTCCCAGTTTTTTTTTTTTTGTTCTATATAGAAGCAAAACTTAAATTTTCATCAAATTCTGCTGCATTCATGTGTGCCTTGTTCTCCAACATTGCCTCTCAGCAGTTCTAGACTTGTGTTTCTGCAGCTGGAGGGACAGCCATGGGCTTTTTTCACTTCTAATAAACTAGACAAAACCTACAGTTTTTCTTGGGAAAGCTGCTGGATGTCAGTAAGCTTTAAACCTTCAAAGCTCCTCTGCCGTTGACATAAACTTACTAACTGGCAGCAGTTTACTCTTGAGTATGCTTTGCCACCTACGTATCATTTGACTTCTCTGAAATTAATTATCAAAGCTGAGATGGGGAAGTGTGGAAATTTACAGCTGATGTGTGAACATGCTCTCCCTTTCAGTAAAATCAAGTCTGGCTTACACCGACTTTTTGCTGATACGTGCATAAACGCAGTTTGCATCATCAGGCTGCTGAAGGCACGCATGACTTGCATCACCCTGTTGCACTTTCAATAAAATGTAGTTTCTAGTGCTTTTTTCTTTTTAATCTTCTCCTCCAGAGGACAGGTCTCCCGTGGAGCAATTTGAGAGCTGAGAAGGCATTATTTGAGATTTTTCTTCAGGGTGAGAGGAACAATGAGTTGTTACTCAGTGGTTACTCCTTTCTGGTAAGAGGTACTTTGTTAAGTGTGCTGGGCGTTATGCTCGGCTGTCATTTTTTTTTTTTTTTTTTTTTTTGATACATATATTATGTCTTATGGTTACAGAAATCGGTCTAGGCGCCCCCACGAGCTCGCCCAATCCCGCATTTTGGGTGCCCGCTGTCAGGATTCAGAGGCCCCGGCTGGGAGGAGCTGCCCCAACCGCCCCTCCCCCTAACTCTGAGGGGAAACCGACTCCTACCTCCCGCGAGCCCCCGCGCTGCCCGCTGAGGGGTGGCCTCGGCCCGCAGCCCCCTCCGGCTCCGCCGCCATCGCCGCCTCCCGCTGCCTTCCCCTCAGCGCCCCCAGGCCCCGCCCCCCCGCCGCGACGTCACCGCGCACGGTCAACAACACGCGTCCCCCGCCTATGGGGGGGGTGGGCGGGGCCTTCCCCTTCCCGCCCATTGGTGACGCGCCGGCTCCGCCTCCGCGGCGGCTCTCGCGATACTTGGATGTAAACAAAGCTGCGGGGGGGGGGGGGGGGGGCGGGCAGCGCCGCGGCTTCTTTTCGCCGTCTCAACCGAGCTTAGGGTACAGCCGCCCTCCCTTGTCCTCCGCGGCTCCGCCCACTTTTGGACAGCGCCGGGCGCGGATTGGCCCGCCTGGAGAAGCAGCCCGCCTTCGGAGCTGCCTGATTGGCGAACGGTGCGCGGTGCGCGAGGTGTCATTCCCCGTCGGGGCGGGGAGGGGGGGGGCGTCCCAAACACTGTCAGCGAGGAGCCGGGCAGCGGCGGCGGGTGAGGGGGGACGGGGCAGCGCCGCGCCCGCGGGCTGAGGGCAGGGCCGGGCGGAGCGGTGGGGGCTCGCGGCAGCGCTGCGGCCGGTTCTGAGGGCGAGTGTGGGGGGTGCGAGGCCGGGCGGGGGCCGGGGCGCTGAGGGAGGGCGGGGGGGGTGGTGGCCGCGCACCCTGAGGGAGCCAGCGGCGCTCGGCCCGGGAGGACGGGGTGGGGGGGGGTGGGGGGGCCCGGCCGGTCTCGGCGCTTTCAGGGGCGGCCGCGGCCTGATTCGCGGGGCGGCGGTTGGGGGAGAGGCCGGCCAGGTTGGAGCGTTTTGTGCCGGAGTTGCTCAACAGCGGGGCGGCTGAGGGTGCCCGGGGTTCCCGCCCGGCAAAACAACTCCGGCTGTGGGGCGGGGGCTGGGGCCGCCCCTCACGGCTCGGGCGAGCAGCGAGCCCCGGCTGGCGCAGGTGTCCCGCTGGGTTAAGGCATAACGTGAAGGGATAATTTGGCCTTCTACGTGCCGCTTTTTCTTTTGAGATTGCATGACATGTTGTGTCAAACTTCAGTTGTAGCGCTGAACGTTGTGTTATTAATTTCTGTGGGGCTGTTTAGCCTTACCTCAATGGGATGGCCCTTACAAAGGCTGCCCAAACATGAAATTATGCTGATAACCGATACCACGGAGGGCATTTGGTTTTTTCCTCTCACTTTCTGGACTGGTTGTTGGTTTGGGGTGGGTGGGACAGTGAAGTGGCCGAGTGGCAGGGACCTGTGATCCTTCTTCAGTGTTTTTTGCTTTTAAGAATGTTATGCTGAATTTTCACATGGAATAGAAGTGCGAAGAAAAACTTGAAGACAACAGAAAGAGCTGACAGAAAAGCAGAATGTGTTCTGTCATGCTTTTTGTGTTTGCCTCAATGTAACCCATTTCAAATTTTCAAGAATACAATGCGCTGCAGTTGAGATAGTACAATATTTTTATATAATTATGTTCTAAAGTAACAGCTCATTAGCAAATAATGGTCTTGTATAATGGTGGTGATAACTGTGGACCTGTACCACTATCTTTAATGTGTGGTTTGAACAGAATTTTCCACTTTATCATGCAGGTGTGTGTTCTTTTTTTTGTATTCGCATACACTGCAGGAGCTGCAGTGATTGAGATACTGAAAAAAGAGGATGTTTGGGGCTTTTTTTGGTTTTGCTTTTTAAAACGTGTTGTAAAGGGACATTGTGCCTTGCAGATTTGTGTAAGTTATGTTTCAAGAGGTTTTTATCATCCTGAAGGATATGTCAAGGGCTGGTGTAATAAATAATCCTGATGCAAATTATTATTAAAAAGAAATTTGTTTCTTACAGGTATCTGCAAAGAAACAATGGCGACAGAATCTCCGCGCCGCCCTAGTCGATGTACTGGAGGAGTGGTGGTTCGCCCACAAGCTGTCACGTAAGTACATTCTAGAAGAATAGCCCTTATTTGAAATGTTTTTTATTTTCTTGTAGAAGAACCTAGTCTGAATTTTCTTTTGAAGCCAGCTGTGAGGATTTGTGTTGACAGTCTGGTTTTGTTGCATTGAGTATTTTCCAATGAACGTGTTGCCCTCCTGTCTCCCAGGACTGTGCAGGTCAGGCTGTCTCCCTGAATGGGATGCTTTTCGCTTTGACACCAAAACCTTAAAAGTTGTGCATTTTAAAGACTGGTATCTTGCAACGTTTTGTCGTTTGTTTACACAGTTTTGTTTGCTGTACAAACACTGTGCTAGCTGTAGATCAACGATTGTAAATTTCTTCCTTACCATAGGAGGAAGACAAACAGTATGTTCATTTCTTGCTGTTCTTTTTAATAATACCTTGTCATAGGAGTGGATATATTAAAACATATATGCCTGTCATTAAAGTCCTTCAGTGAGTAGAATTGTGGATTCTAATTTTTTTTTGCTTAAGAGAACAAAAACAAGAGTAAAGGAAGAAGCTACCTCTCTCCAGTCAGAGCACACTAAGAAACCATTTTTTTTTTCCTGGGCATCCTTATTTTCCTTATGATCACATGAGAATACTTCCATGACAAGAGAGCTCTAGTAAAACAACCTAGAAGATCTATGGTCTGGTCTTTGTCTGTTAAAGGTTTTTTGTAGAAGTTTTTTTTTTTTTTTTTTCTGAGGGATGTTTATACTGCTTGAATTGTTGCTGCAAAATAGTACTACATTAAAATGTTCACTTACACTGTCAGTTTCAGTGGCCCATAGTATGCCACTAGAGATAGCTGTGTATTTCAACATGAAGATTCACTTTATTTTTACCAGGGAGCACAAGAAACCTACCATTGTAACACAAAAAGTTCTTGGATGTTTGTCTTACAGCCCTGTGATAGAATAAACTTTTTTTAATGTTGCAGAATTTCTCAACAAATGCATTTCTGTTTCTAATGACCTTTTTTTCTTCAAAGTAAGCTTTGAACAAATGATAATAGAAAGCCAATGTAAGAATAAGATGATATGTTCTTTTGTTTTATGAAATGTGGTGGCCTGTTCTTGTGGTATATCTTTTCACCTCAAAAATTGCAGTATTTTTGATGAGAGTTTGTGTATGTTTAGCAGCCTGCAGCAGCTTTCTGCTGCTTATGTTAAACTCCTAGATTCTTAATAACAGAAGATTTTTTTTTTTTTTTTGGCGCGTTTTGTTGTTTTAGTTGTTTTAAGCACTTTAAAGATATCTTTCTGGAAGTTTGTCAACTTCAGGAGAGATTTAGAGTACACATGCTGAATAAAACATTTTACAAACATCAGCTTTGTTTCAGGATGTACTGGGGGGGAAGTGCCCATTTCATGAGCTGAAAAACAAAGTCAGTATGACTCTTGCTCGTAGGCATTCACGTGAGAACTTCAAACGCTGTATTTAATACTCTACCTGCAGACAAGTACTACTGCTAGGTAATAAAGGGCTCTGAAGGTACACAGAGACAGTTTTGGTGACCTACATAAGTCAAAGAAGAATCATCACTATAAACCACAGCTCATTCATAAGGCCTCAGCTTAAAGCAGTAAGACAAACTTTTTGATGCAGTAATCCTTGGATTACTGAACAAAATCTGGTTTTGTCATGAGTTGGAGTAAGCTTTCTAAAATTTAAAACTTTATGGTTTAGATTTATCTTTGTTTTCAGAGATGAGGCAACCAGTTAAACTGATCCAGGTGCTGCAGAATTTGACTTGAAGTATCTTCTGTATTGATGTGTATAGGGCAGAGTACTTAAATACTAAACAGTCCAATATTTATTAATCTTACAGAGCACAGTTTCAGAAAGCATGAAGAAAGCATATGTACCGTTGGACATCAAAAGTCTGGATATCCTAGTTTATGATTTTTCTTTGCTGGTATTACAAATCTTGAGTTGGCATAGGAAAAATTGCTACCAATATAAAAATTAACTTGGGGGCTTAACCCTAACCCTTCAGACTTTATGAAGATGGTTCTTGATGCCAGCATGTTTCCGTATTATTCATTACAGAAAGCACAAACTTTTTGCATAGTTTCGACACCGTCTGTCTAATATAGTCAGCCCACATTGTAAGTTGCTCAGCAGTTACACAAGAGATGCATGCAGGGATAAGCTAATAAAAGCATTGGTTTAAATCTACCAGAACAAATGTATCTTGCACTGTATACTGTTCTAAATCATTGCTGCTAATGAACTTCTGAGAAGGAGTAAGCTTCCCAAGCTATAAAATCTTACCTGACAATACCTCTCCTTACTGTTCTTAGCTGGGGTTTTGTTCCATCTCCTGCCCCAAAGTGCTACCACTTACTTCATCATTCTACATAATGCATGGGAGGTCTTAAAGTTTACTTGCACCCCAAGGAGAGCCACAGCCCTCAGCTTAAGTCTTCGTGTTGCAATAGCCAAATGAAGTAGAAAAATACCAAAGAATCATTTCCAAATGCCTGTTCTACTTGTCAGCCACTCTGATGTGGAGAACATGGTTGGTTTCTTGACTTACATTTTATACTTTTCCCCTAAGCAATTGTTTAATAAACAGGTATCACTTAACTTTTTACAGACTTCTAGGCCACTGTTTATATTATCAGGGTGTTTAGCAATATACTAAGTAACTGCATTGCATACATAGTATTTTCCTTTGCACTGAAGATTGTACATGATTTCTCTTGTGATACGTCTTTTTTAATATATCAGTGACCATTTCAGAACTTCAGTGGTAGTTAAAATTTTTCTTCTGTTTTCAAGGGAACAGTCATACATGGAAAGTGTTGTTACGTTTCTTCAAGATGTTGTGCCACAGGTACGTGTAGACCTCTAAAATGACTTTTTTGGTGTACAAAGCAGTTGAAGTGTGTGGCAAGTGGACCGAAATAATAATTGAAAAACAAAAGCCAACTGTTCTGGTTTTTTGAATGTGAATCTTGGGACCAGGTTTTTGAAAGTGTAGGCTGCATGCCATGTAAAGATTGCGCCTACAGATTTCTTCTAGGTAATAATTAAAATTAAAATCTTAGCTACGTAGAAGTTGAAGAATTACAATATAAATAGCAGGAAGAAGATTGCAGCCTTTTCCTATGATAATTTTGGCAACAGAATACTTGGGGAGGGGAGAGACTGGGCATAATACTTGCTTTGCCTCTTACAAATGTCTGTTTTCTGGGTTGTAGTTGGAAACCAGTGTATGAACCCTGGCTGAATTGCTGTTAGAACAACTTGGTAGACACCCTTTGTCACCTTAGCATTTATCGTTGGCTGAAAAGGAGAAAGTTTATTTTGCTTCCTTTACTTCCTCTTTTTTATCTTGTTTCCTTAACTCGCCTCAGTGTCCCGGTTGCTGTGGGACAGGGGAGCTCTGCCTAACCTGTTGTTCTCCAGAGTGTCAAGTGTTGCAAAGCACGAGTCCTCGCTCTGCTTTTTAATTTTTTTTTTTTTTTTTTTCCCTATTTCTGTAATCTTCCACTCTGAAGAATAAATATGATGCTTATGTCTGCTCTTGGTCATAGTTTTCTCAGGTAGCAGCAGCACGAAACTGGAATGGTTACTTCTGTATTGCTCATGGGCCTCTCAGTAGCAGAGGGAAACTAATTTTGTTTTGTTACTCTGTTGGAAATCTGTAGTTCCTAGTGGAGGAGCATTGCAGCTAATTGTCTGTAGCCTCAGGAAACTATCTTGGTTCATATTTGAAGGATTATCTTGTTTAGTTAGTCTTGAATTACCTCAATAATAATATAAAAAAAATATTCCCCTCACTAATACCAGTTTGTGAAATGCATTTTGGACTCATGGTCAAAATCAAGAATAGTCAAACTTTCATTTAAAAGATTGCTGCATTCCGCACATGCGCCCATTTTTTTCCCCCCTCTGTAGTTAAAGGATACAGTCTGTGTTCTTATTTTACAAATCAGTTTGCTTTGGAAGCATGGAATGTGATTTGTTTTGAAAAGTAATACCCACACTTATTTTTTAAATTTGTATTTTTGGTTCATGTTATTGCTTTACTGGCATGCATAAAGTGATTATACAAGCTCTTTTCATATTTAATCCAAAATACTGCACAGTATTTTGTTGTAATTCATTTGGAAGTGATGGTATTTCTACTGTAGCTTGTGTTCTTACTACCACAGTTTCTCCTGAGAACTGTAAAACTTGCAGTTTGGAAACGCTGCAAGTCTCCTTCACAGTTTCTTTTTGTATCTCATATTTTTTTATATAAATCTGTAGAACACAACTGAAACATGGATCTGTTCTACAGGAATTACAGTTTATTCTCTTTTAAATGGATTTATTCAAGATATCACAGATAACTAAAACATGTCAATAAAATAAACTGTGTAGTAAAGGTCTCTTTCTTTTCTCAATCTTGCTTACAAAGTGTTTCAGTGACTTAAAGAGAATTTTAAAAGTAAAAATGCCTCCCATGAAAACCTCTAACATTGCTTTTAGAAGGAGTGTACAACCACTGAAGTTAAAGATTGTAGAAGCCACTGTATTTTAGCTTGACTAAATTGCTATAAGTCACGTGGCATTTCTAACATGCTTCAGAAGAGTTATTGTTATCTATATCTTGTCATTTCTGCATTGGTAAGTGATGTTACGCTTGTCGAGATATATCTAGTATGGTGTATGTCGATCATGGAACCATTCATTTTAAAAATGAAACCTCACAGGTATGCTGGTAACAGTAAGATACATGTACCTCTGTTTTTCTTTTTTTAACTTACATTCCCTCCTTTGGTCTACAGAGGGAGAAAAAAGGGTACTAAACTTTCTTATTTCAACCCTTTTGCTTTTTGTCCAGGCCTACAGTGGTACCCCACCAGCAGAAGAAAAGGAGAAGATCATTTGGGTCAGATTTGAAAATGCAGATTTAAACGGTATGGCTTAATTTTCTCTCACTTAATTCTGTGATTTTTTTTTTTGGGTCCGTGTACAATAATTTCAGTCAGCTTGATCAGTAAGTGTTGTTGATTCAGAATTAAGTGTTTAATTTCCCTGTTCTAGATAGACTAAATTCTAAGTGAATAACTGCACTTTTGTTCAGTATCTACTGAATAGAACAAATAGGCCTTGTGACGTCATGTAAAGGCAAACTAACTCTTGCTTAGGAAGAGGAGCAAATTAAAAAAAAAAAAAAATCAATTTATTTTCCTTAAGGTAGTTGAAAACAAAGCATAGAACTGACTTTATTTTGTCTACTGTTTGATGTCAAAGCCAGATTATCTAACTGTGGTTTTCAGTGGTGTGGTAGAATTCAGAGTAACCTAGAACAGAAGAGCAGTCGGGTAAAATGAGCAGGAGATTCCATGATGTCTTTCAGGGAAATAATAGATCAAACCCACAAAATGTGCTTAAAATGTAACTTGTTTATCACTACTGTATCTTAATAAATCATCAGCAAAGACTGATGACTTAGTGCAGAAAACAGATCTCCAACCTTTTTAAGAGAAAATGGTGATTGTTCTAAGATTCTGCCAGGATTATCAAGTAGGTCCCCACTTAGGATCTGAGCTGTTACCTCCTTTTGAATAAGGAAGACTAGGGAATAAATGAGAGATGGTCGAATGCTGCAATCAGGTAGTTACTCCCTGAATTAATTTAACATCTTGGAGTTGCTTGTGGTGTGTGGTAGGTGTGCTTGTCATAGCTGAGGGACTAAGGGACCTGCCTTCTGGAGAACGCTGGATTTAAGTCTTCCAGCAAATTCCGTTTCTTGTTTGCTGTCTTATTTTCTTGTCTAGAGCTCTATGGTAAAGGCTTATTCTGGTCTCAGATGAAGCAATAGCAACCATAGCCAGAGCTGTGATGGGGAATTTTCAGCCTTTCCGAGGGGTTAATAGGGAAGATTATATGCTTTCCAGCTGTTGAAATGGCACAGAGGCTGGCAGTTCATAAATTCATGGTTATTAGAACTAGAAAAGACCTATCAACCTGTACATGGCGTTATGTCCAGCTTCAGGCTAGGTCAGGTTTGTTTGCTTGTGGGTTTGTTTTCCTCGTATATTTAGTTTTAAAATATCTTAGTCATTCCCTCTTTAGGTTCTTTTCTACAGTATAGCTAAAACTCTTTAGAATATTCTTCAGAATCATTCATATTCTGTTTAAATTGATTTTATGCAGCCTAATCTGCTTGGGCCTGAATACATACTCTTTCACCAGCCTAAATATTTCTTCTCTTTCTTTGGTGTTTATATGCTGTCAGTGAACTTTTGTTCATTCTGTCATGGTTGAAAATGTAGTTTTGGAGGGCTTTACTCAAGAAAAGCTTAATATTTTTGATTATTATGTCCTGTAGCACTATTCTTCCTGGGGATTTTCTTCTGTTGGTAAGGTTGATGTAAAGATTAATTATATAGTGTCTAGAAATAGTTTTGACCCGTGTGTGCATTTGTAATTTCTGTATTTGTTAAAGTTTATTTTGTTGGTCCTTTGCAAATTTTTCTCTGAAAAGTTTGCCATGTTTTATTAATCATTTGAGAAAGAATTACAGAAGTTCTTGGGGTATTTAGTGACAACCCACATCGTAATCCAAAAAATTTTTCTCCGTAATTTAAAATTTTAATGGTTTCTAACCACTCTGTGAAACTTTACCAAATCTATTATGTTTGCCTGAAGGAATATATTTCAGTATTGTTTCAGTATAAACATTTAAACAACTTTGCTTACTTTTACTTATGACATCAGAAACATACATTGACAAAACACCATCTAGGATACTGACACCAGCCATAGTTGATCCTCACCTGCTAATAATGGCTTTGATACTTAAACCCAATTTAGATACATCAAGAAATATGGAGTTTCATGAAATACATAGCACTGGGAATGAACCACCCTTACTGCTAATGATCGGATACAGTGATGGAATGCAAGTCTGGAGCATACCTGTAAGTACAGTTCTACACTTCCATGTCAGAGGTTTTTTTGTTTGTAATGTTGTGTTATTACTTTAATATTTTATTTTTATTTTTTCCTATTGAAATGGAAAGAGCCAACATTTACAATCAAAGTCATATGGTTTGTATGTAATATGCTTATTTTAAGATTAATACTGAGCATAGGCCAAATGCAGATTTGAGGGCTTTTATCAAATTATTTCTGTTAAGTAAATTTTGAGAGTTGAATTTGGAGTAGTGTTTGGTGTTATGGAATAGTTTCTATCCCATGATGGATAGAAATCTCCTTATCCTACATAAAGGAATAAGGGGGGGGGGAAATATGAAAAGTATTTGTTTGTCCTAGAAACACAAGTATGACAGTATTGATAGTATTTTACAATCACGTTTGTCATGTACATGATTTGCAATTTTAATTTTATTAAAGTCTGAATGTGCATATGGGTTTGATTTCATGCTGTCATACACACTCTCTGCAGTTTGTGTTTCAGAGTGGTTTATGAGCACATGGTCTTAATTTGGGGAATTTCCCCCCAAATTTCTTGTAACTACAGAATAAAGTTTAATACAGTAGGTCATAAAATTTTTAACTTAAAAAAAAAATTTGCTTATAACACCTTGTCCTTCAAAATTATGTAGAGGGGATGGAGTTCTTTCTGTTTGTAAAATACATTGGTGTTTTTAGAAATAAGTATGCTTTTTCATTACTTCGTAGTAAGCTATGTAGGATGTGGTTATATGCCAGTAGCTTAGAGAGTATAATCAAAAGAAATGTTAATTGGTACACAGAATGTTAAGTTAAACTGAATTTCGCTGGAGTGTGAGAGCTGGCTTTTCCCTCTTGATTGCATATTGATAGCTGGAGATGAGGAAGAAAAAACTGCTGAGCTTTTGCATTTGAAGGAGGGTTTAATGGAAATGAAGTAAGACCTAGTGTACTTTACTAAATTTTAGTGTTTAGTAACTTTTTACTAAAACTTAGGAACTGTAGCCAAAATTTTGAAGCATTTTAACCAAAATATAGGAAATTTTATCTGCTTGTATGTCCTGAGAAACTATGACTAATTCAAACTTTCATGGCTTTGTTTTTAATGGAGCAAAACGTATCCTTGGATTGTTTTTATATTTTATCTTTTTAGAGCAGAAATGTGTATGACATAGCAAAGCTTGCTTTGTCTACTCCTTTTTTAAAATTTTTAAATGTACAAATCAGATAATTAAAATAGTTCAGAAAGGCTTTGCTTTGTTCCTCAAAGTGTATTGCAGAAAACAAACATTAGGTGTCACTAAGATACTGAGCTAAGAGAGGAAATACAGCTGCAGGCGCCTCAGAACTTATCACAAGTTGATCAATTAGTTAAGATAGTGTGAGTAGTCACAGAGACTTAAGCCAATTTATAAAAGAGCTTACTTTACCCTGCTGAAATGTTCTTATACAAATGAACGCGTGTTGTCTGAAAAAATGCGTGGAAGTACGTTGTGTTGGGATTTGTCCTGGCCACTCTGTGGTAAGAGCAGCTTTGTGTGTTTTTCCCCGAGTGTGTACCAGGCCCTTGCTTTGTGCTGAGGTGAGTTCTCTGCACCCCTCGGCAGTGACTTTGTGTCCGAATGAGGCTGCCGGAGCGATCTCTATCAGCGCCTTTGAGAAGCGCTCTGTAGCGTGGGATCTTTTATTCCCGCTTTCCTTATACATGCAGGAGAGTTTCAGTTCTTTGGTACGTGAACACATTACCTTGGTGTGACCTGTTCTGCATTAACTGACTGCATGGAAACTCCTACCCCATGGTACACTGCAGTAAACATGAAATAATTTGATGGCGATAACTAACAAATGAGTTAAACTACTTTGTTTATCCTGGCTGATGTGTGTTTATTGGTACTGTCAGCCAGCTAGTACAAGGTAGCTTATACACATTTCCTAGTGGGAAAGAAGGGTTTTCTTTGGGTTTGTGGGTGGGGTTATTTTCTTTCTTTTTTTTTTTTTTTTTTTTTTTTTTTTTTTTTCCCCTTCTTGTGTCTGAATTAACCACAAGTTAGGCCACGGAATACCTGATGTTGCCTTCTTTTTCAGTAGGACAATACAGCCAGGTTGTCTTTTGTTTTCTTGGTATATTTCACTTCATAATTCCTAGATTTTGATTGTCTTTAATATTTTAGGAAAAATAAGAAAAATCAAATTGCAGAACAATTTCTCTTAAGGTCGTTCATTTTTTTGCAGAGGTATTTTTAATAAGTAGGGGAAAGTCCAGTGAAATGGAAAAAATGCCAAATGTGGAAATATTTTAGCATCCATCTTAAGACTGTCAACTGCAGAGATATTACATCACTTTGTCAGCCCTTTATTTTGTATCTTCTTTGAAATTCTGAGACCACATTCAGAGAGGTGCAGCTTCACCCTGTGCAATCTGTATCCGTTAGTACCGTTTCAGTGTTGGAATGGTTCCTTTGTTAGTGACAAGGTCTTAGACAGATTCTCAGATTGGTAGTCTTTAATATCAATTTTTAAATATCTTTTCAGAGCAGGATTTATATATATGACAAATTTGGAGGTAACAACCTATTTTTCTCCCATGTTGTTGTTTTTCCATCTCAATTTTGCTTAGTGAGTCTGAGTGAAATAAAATCTGGCAGTTGTGTGACTGACTTCATATTTAGAGTTTATTTGGCAACGCTTTTTTGTGTCCTTTGGTATTATACAAATCTTTCTTCTTGATCTTGCTGAGTATTTAGCTTGTAATGAAGCAGCATTATTCCAGTTATTAAGAAAAACCTGATCTCTCTAGTTTAAAAACGTTTCAATCTGAAAAAGCAACAATTTGACATTTAGGTGAAAATCTACTCAGTAAGGCTGTTATCTGTAGCATTGTGCTTTTTATTCGTACAATTGAACCTCTATTCAGCACTTAATAAAGTAATGTGTTGCAGGCAGTCCAGTTTGTGTTTGAGTGATTATGAAGTGTTTATGACAGCTTCTAAGCTGACACTCTCCGTAATGGTGTTACATTGACTTCTAAACACCTCTGCAGTCTGCCTCCAGGAGTGCGTGTGTCTCTGCAGTCTGAGTGGTTTCACATTAACATCTCCTTGGAGTAAGATCTTTGACTACAGAAGTGTTACTTGCAAATGGAAGACACCATTAGGGCTGCTTCAAAGGACTGAAATAATGTTTGGACTGCTGGGTGCTGAAGTAACGGCTGGGGTTTTGAAGTGCAGCGTCTAAATCTGTATTGCATAAGAAGCGGAAGGTGTCCATCCAAACGACTTTTCTTTGATCTTTGTTTTGAAATGGGGGGTGGGAAGGTTAAAAGTGTTCTTAAAATATGCCTCGCTAAGTGGGGAGAAATCTGGGAATATACAAAAGTATGACTAGAAGTTCCTATTTGATAATTGTGCAGTGTAGTTTTGTGTTTTATTTGGAATTTGTTTTTCCCTTGCTCCCAGTTTCGTGTTTCAGATACAATTGGAACTGGTTTCTGCTTAATGTGGTTTCCAAGTATCTGTTCTAGATGTTCCTGTTCAGGGAAATGGATGTTGGCTGGTTTTGTGGCAGATATATATTTTTTTTTTTCTCTTTCTATGCTGGAAGTTTCAAAAATAGAAAAATCACCTTAATTTAATGGTTCATATTACAATTAGAACGATCAAGCCTGGGTTGAACAAAGTAGGAACTACCAAGGGGAACTTCTAATAACAAGCACAGATGTATATTTAGTGAAACAATACTTAAAGGCTGTGGTATAATGATGCTGTCACAGACTGAAGGGATGTGTCAGCCCATGTGGTGGGTGACTTCTGTGCAGAGACCTCTGAATGCAGAGGACTCGCTGGACAAGGATGGCACCGCACACTGGCTTTTCTCCACTGCCAGACCTTAAATTTCTTTAAATGCTGCTGTCAATAACGCTATGATTTTTAAGTTGTTAAAACTGCAGTTGTACAGCAGATGGTGTGTGGATGCGGATGTATGGGTGGATGTATATGGTAAGTCAGATATGCCAGTCCTATTTTATTTTCTCAACTGTTCATCAAAAGCCCTGTCTGCTGGGGCTTCGATGTGGTCTTCTTTGTAATTCTTTCTCCGTTGTAATTCTTTGCCCTTTTACAGCTGGGAAAAGGACTAGTCACTTGTCACATAGTAAACTGGAATCCTTCCTCTGTCCAGACCTCCTTCTGATAGAGGGTACCGCTGTTAAGGCTTGTATTAGCCACTTGGAAAAATGTAGTAATGACCTGACCTAGTAACCCTGAAAAATGTCTAAGGCCTTTACAAAACATCTATGCAAATAATTTTCTGAGTCTTTGTTTTTTTTTTTTTTTTTTTTACACTGAAGATTCTAGCAGTATGTAAGAATTTTTCTATTTTTATGCTCATTAAGTGACCGCAGAACTCTTGGAGGGTTTTTTTATTCATATCATGCCCTGTACCAGTTGGAACAAGAGCATGTGCAACAAACTTTGAAAAGGCTGTCGTGAGAGGTATCAGAAGAGCCCAAACAGCATTTCATGTAGCTCTCCTTGGATGGGGTCAAAGCTAAAAGGAAGGCTTCTGAAGGGTGGCAGTAACCATATTCTACCTGCTTCCAATATTGTCTGCATCATTCTTGCCTTTATGTAGAAATGATTAAAACCACTGCAGAACTGTCCCCCAAATTAGAATTTTATAGGGAGCCTGCAGCCTGATCATGCTAAAACTCCTCTGAATGTATGACACATGAATTGAGAACGTTGAGGAACCTGTAACCAAAACCATTTCTAAGCTTTCATTGTTTTTTATGTTCTATTAGCACTGTCATAATTGTAAATACTAGGTGTAATTTCATGCTTAATTCAGTCGCTAGAGTAGATGGCCGTAGCATTCTTTGAGCATCTAAATTCTTACCATCTCTAGATAATTACAGAGTTTTTGTTTTGAATGAAAAAGCAGACTGTTTGAATTTCTAAAGTGATGGAATTTGTTCTTTTACTTACAGTCCTTCCTTACTCAGTAGCGAGATGACTGGTAGTAGTCTTTAACCCAATATGATTATATCAAACAGTATTTTGTGGAGGTGTCTGTCAGATGCTTATTGTCATATTATAATATCAAATCATGATATCTATACCATCTATACTATATTTAAAACAATTTTAAAAAAACCCTCCTGATATTTTCTCTGTGACAGTTTTTTAATATACAAACAGTTTCTTTTTATATAGTTGCACAGTAGTTTAAGCATTCAGTTTCGAACTCAGTTTTGTTTCTATTTGGTGTACTTTTGACTTTTTTATTTTCACCATGTGAAAACCATTTTCTATGGTTGGAAACTATTAGTTGTCCTTAGTGTGAACAAAACTTCCTTTGTTCTGTTTTTTTATGGGTGCAAACTGGTATGCTCCAAACAATAAAGCTCTGTCATCAAAAGTTAACCAGTGCTCCATGCTTCTGGTCTGTCATATTTTAAGCAGTAGCTCGAGACATCTCAGTGGAGGAGAGAGTTCTTCTTCCTCTTTCAGTCTGTTGTTATTGGAAGAGAGCGATGAAGACTTCACTGGGGGCCGGTTTTGAATCGGCACGTTGTTTGCTTGCAGCCTTCCCTGTAGGTCGGGGGCTTGTGGTTTGATACCAGGCGGTGGGAAAAGCTGAAATGTTCTATCAGACCAGCTTGGAGCCGTCATTTTGGATTCGCCTGTTCATAGAATGAGTACCTGAAGCTGCTTTTATAGCTTAATATTCAATTCTTGAAACCTGTTTGGAAATATTCTTGGCTTTTGGAATGGGAAAGAAAAACTTTTAAGAGCTTTGAAAGCTGCCACAGGGACTTGCTACTTAGCTGGATCAAATCCAAAATGGCAGCCACAGCCTAGTTTCTTCACAGGTGCTTTTTGAAGAATTTAGAGCTCTGTTTTCAGTTCATGAAGTCTATTTATATTTTGTCTATGCTTATGAGACTCTGTAGCTCAAGGGACTGGTAATGGGATGTGGAGCCTTTTACTTCAACTTGCCAGCCCACATCTCACCCAAACTGGCAGCGACAAAGTTGTTAGCCATTTAGCGATTGGGCTGGGCTTCTGTTAAATGTAGTTCCTTGTCCCACTTTAGTTCCTAGTGGAATAAGCGTCCCATTCACAGAAAAGATTGGCTGTCTATGTTGGCTGTCTCAGGAGTGAGATAAGACCTGAGCTGGCAGGAAGATCAGACTATATAATCTCTCTACCCTGAAGATGGTGCTTTCAGTCAGAATTGATACTTGTGGCCTCAGCAATGGTAATAAAGTTTTATGTTTTATATAGATAAATGAAGGGCATTAGCATTAACCACAGTCAATTCAGAATTTTATAAGACTGCAAATAGCAGAAGCTTCTACTGGTGGTAGTGTTTAAAAAAAGTTAATTATAAGTCAAAGAAAATCTTGAACTCTAAAGCCCTAATGCATTTTTCAATGCCAAGCAAACCAGAGGAACAACCAAGCTTTTACTAATTCATGGCATACAAAAGATTCAATGCCTTCTATAATTTCCTGTGTCTAGGGAGAACGGTAAAGGACACACAACTTAGTTTTCTTAACAGTTTTTTTTTTTTTTTTTTTGTAATTTTATGGAGCTATGGTAGGTTAAGTATTAGTGTTTTAATTTGATCCATTTTGTAGTGTCATGTCCAGATTTTCTGTAAACTGCTTTGTGCCTTATACTGAATTTGCCATTTTCTTTACAAATGGCATGCCAGTGGTTGGGTGGCATCTTGTACAAAATCTAGAGTATGGGTGTGTCTTAAAACTTGCTCCTTTTTGGCTTCCAGGAATCAGCAACTGCTAAGTAAATGAGCTGTATAGATAGCTGAAGATACCAGAACATTTACTGGTTTTTGTTAGTTCTACGAAGCTTCCCCTTTTCTGGTGGGAGAGGAAAAATCCTGCACAGACTGAAAGGAAAGGACCTGTTACATTACAGTATTGGACATTACAGTGATCTCAGGAACTAATTACCTATAATCTTGTCTTTGTCACTGTCAGATCCTGTGGCTTTGGTTAGTCAGTTTAACCTTTCTTTTTGTCATTTCCCTCCCAGGATGAAATGGTAAAATAGATACCTTTCAAATAATGAATATTAATTATTAAAAATTAAAATAATTATATGCATTAAAGGAGCTGGACTGGGATTTTCATGTTAGGTGCTGAAGTACAAATAAACTTCATTTGTATTTGTACGTTTTAGGTTTTTCTTTGAAAATCTCAACTTTAAGCTCTACTAGTCTTGGCATCACAGACTAAATAAACATGCTCTCTGGAGTTCAGTATGTTTAAGAGCAGAAAGTGAATTAAGAAGGTTTGGCCTTCTTAGTGTATCTTACTTGTGGGACTATAACTTTATTTGAAGTAGATTGGAGTTAGAGCTGATGTGCTGGCATAGTTAAAAAGTAGGAGGAGGTGACTGAATTGGATTGGATTACTTTATGTGAATCACTTCTTCCATACTTCTGCTATGCTAGTTCTTTTCCGTCTTGTTTTCATTCATAGCCGTTGATGTGCATGCACATGTGAAACAGCATTTTCATGATTTGGGGGAAAAAATCTTTAATTGCCAATAATAATAGTTCCAAAGCCTTTTATTTTTCTTCTTCTCCATTTCCTCCTTTCCCTTTTCGTAGAGCTGGTGTGTTCCAATGGGCAGAAACCATGCTGCTATCTTAGTCTTTTTTTCATTTTTTTTTTACTTATTACTCTCTCTCTTTCTTTAATTTTTCTAATTTTCTGCTTAGCTGTGCTCTGCTTTTTTTTCCAGAACTGCTAGCTGTCTGCAAATCTAAAATGCTTGAGAAGGTTCTTTACCTGCATTTGTGTAGCTTGAATGTTGTTCCAGGCGTAATAGGAAGAGCAGTAGTTCTCTAAATTCTGTGTTTACTTACTGTGTACAGAATGATGTGCTACCTCTGTAGTAAATAGTGTTTTCAAAGTAATCGTATGAAAGACTTGTGCTTCAGTGGGATAGGTTTCATTCTGCCCACATTATCTAAAGCAGTGGTCCAAAATAATGAAGCTCAGGGTTAAGATCAGAAGTAAGCTAAGAGTCTGAAGTACTATACTTAAGATTTGTTGTTCAAACAGTAGTAGTATTGTAACTTTTTGAACGTATGAGCTGAAGTGCAAGAAGAAATGGGAACAACCATAAAATGACATTTCAAAAAGGTAACTTGTATTTAGAGATTTCTGAGAACCTTGTTCCAAATTGTCCCTTCTGACATTCTAAGCTCCTTGTTTGGCAAAACTTTATGCCAACGTGTTGGCTGCGTTCTTAGTCTCATTACATCTGTTTTAAGTTGTTGGTTATTTGGAAATGAGCTTCATAACGTTTGCCATTTTCCTGAAGTTTGACGTTCCATATCAGATTCATTACCAGGCAGTTATGAAAATGCACTCTGACTGACCGCTTACAGGAAGGCTGGAAATTCATCTTAACTACTTCTGGTTTAATCTTTTCAAGATTGCTATTAGTGACAACCTTAATTAGTTGACCTCCTTTTTGTAAACATAATTTTTACACCTGGAGAACGTGGACTGTACCAATATATCAAATTCTCTGATTTTTTACCACCAGTATTTGCCACTCCTGATCATTGGTTAGTTAGCATTTTTCTTAGAAACGTGTGCTATGTAGAATAAATGCTTGTGGTTTAGATTACTTGAAATTTTGTGAATTTTACAAGTATTGTTTCTTCCAAAACGTTATTAATAGTAGATAGTGCTAGCATGTCATTCATGCAGCCTAAGGCACGTGTTTTTAGAGGCAGGCCATCTTTGTTGCTATAATTTGTCATTCAAAACTTCTAAGTTATATTCTCATTTAGAGAAATTGTAGATGATTGGTTAGAAAGGCAACGTCTTACCAACTTACTTTCTTACCTGTCTTTTGCACAACGCCTGTCTACCTACTTTCTTACCTACTAAATACATGTATTTTAATAAGTGTATATATATTTTTACATTGTATGTTCATAATCCATATGTTTTTCAGATCAGTGGGGAAGCTCAGGAACTCTTTTCTGTCCGCCATGGTCCAGTTCGAGCTGCACGGATTTTACCAGCTCCACAAATCAGTAAGTATATATTTATATGGTTCATAATTAAGTATATTTTTTTTTTTCACAGATCTTTGGCCAAATCATTGCTATAACCTGATACAGAGATTTTTCCATTAATTTTAAACTGTCACCTTCTTAATAGCTTTCTACAAGTGTTATTTACTGCTTTTTTCCTTCTATTCTGTAATCCAGTGTTTTCTCCAGTTTCATCTTCAGACTTTAGCTTTGATGCTGCTTCCTTTGTAGTGTAGAGGCTGTCTAGGTATACCTGTGCTCAGAAATCAGTCCAGAGATGTTAACAATTCTATTTGGAAACATTTATTATCAATAGTTTATTGCTAGAAAATAATACTGATATTTTTTATTAATAGCAAGGTGGTGGCTGATAGCAGTAGATGAGAAATTATTAACATTTATTAAAAATTCCTGTTATAGTGCATTATAAAATCTATTCATAATGTGATGCCCTTCTAAGCTCTTAAGCTCTTTAGAGGAAGGATAGTATGTCTTTTTTGTTACCCATTCAGGAGCTGAAACTGAAACAATATAAGAAAGATAATGCAAGAAGTAGTTGATCTAATTACTGTAGTTTGCACGAAGAGAAAATGTCGTTTTCTGATTATTTGAATTATTTATGAAGAAAATATCAAGTATTTTGTAACTGTGAAATAATCTAAGTAGTCTACTTGTGCATGCATTATGTTTATCAATTGCAACTTTTTGAGGTTTTTAAAAAAGGCTGCTTTTCCACTCCAGTTGTTTTTTTGGGGTGGTACTAGCTTCTAATTTGTTCCCCTTCTGCTTATTTTATGTAAACTTTATACAAACAGTTTGACCTTTTTTAGTGGTTGAATTTCTGTCATGATCCCTTGAGTACCAATAGGCACCTCCTCTCTTTTACTACTTAAATACACTGTTTTATCAAGTTCTAAGACAAGCTGCTTAGTTTAACAGGATTGTTTCAGAAATTCTGAGTTAACCTGGTGGAAGAGCTTGCTGCAAAATTTAAGCAACTATGCATAAACAAGCAAATCCCTTTAAAGAACAACACTGTTCAATCTGCACACAGTGTCTAATTGTAGATGATTTAAAGGCCTAAAATCTGTCGGTGTCCAGGCTCACTTGATTTCAGCAACGTTTTGCTTATCCACTCTCCCTACAACTTCAACTGGGCAAGCTATTCTGTATGGCTGCTGAGTAGTATTCCTAGTTTGAATTGGTTGCCATGTTTTACTTGTGGATGAAAAGAATGTACCTCTAGTATTACCAAGGTTTTTTGGGATTATGATGGATTACAAATTTCGGTGGTGTATTATGAATTTGTGAGCTCAAAAAATATAGCCTAAAATCTAATTGTTTAAATTACTACAAAAATAGTAAATTATAATAGTTGAGTGTTTCAAAGTGAGTGAAGAAAGATAAAGGTTTAAGGGACACATTTTATATTGTCTCAGTGATTTCCTGAGCAGAGGACTATGCAAAGTATGAGTATATGTGATTCTCTAACTGTGCTATAAGTTAAAGTAATTTAAAGCAAAATATTTCACAGTTATGTTGCATCTTTTATTCTGTTTATGGAAACACTCCATAATTCCTGATGAGCTATGTTTTTTTGCTATTATGTGTGTCATTAAGTAATGAGTGTCTATGCCCCTTCCTCTCTCATAGGAAAAAAAAAAAAGGAGAAAAAGTGTAAATGAAAATGAAATAAATTAATTGAAGAACTAGAAATTCAGTTTTTTCTGATAGTAAAATAGTGTTTTCTGATTCTTCAATCTAGTGAATTACACTGCTTATGAACTCCTTCAAGCAGTTACTGACTGTCTGTCTTTAAATTGCATATATTTAGCGTCTGACAATGATAGTTGTTGCATTAGAAAACTATTCAAATTAGCTCATATTAAATTAAGCCAAAGCTTTTAAAAACATGTTTTGGTCTCTTTTTACATGGCTTGGTTTAAATAAATCTTTGATTAAAAGTACATGAATGTATCATTGACCAGTATCTGGAATCAGATAAAAGTAAAGCTGTAATAAGAGGCCTTAGATAACTAACACATGAGCTTTAATGATTCTGAACAAAATAAAAGGAATTTGTAAAGGAGAAGCTGATTACCATCAGTAGGCTCAAACACTATTTTACTGTAAAGCTGTAAAAAGGGAATTATTGAAAATAGGACTCTCTTGGTGGATGGATTTGGCACGTTCCTAGAAACAGATCTTAGTTTGCGATAAGAAGCTCATTCCCAGGTGTGAAAGGAAAGCTCGTGGTTTTAACTTGGTGACTTTACAGGAGCAGAACTTAATAGTTTGTCAACTATTTTGTTAAAATACTATAGTCCTTTGATGTTAGATCCTCTGCTGCATCATGTGCTTCATAGCATAATAAAGCATTGTTTCAAAAGAGTTATTTCATACAGGCTTATTTCATGCAGGCTTATTGCAAAGGAGACCTCCTCAAATCTGATTTAGCAGGTTATAAGTGGTCCTGGTAGCAGGAACGTGGTGCAGTATCTGGAGCTGGCCTTGCGTGCTGCCAACTCCGATCCGGTGAGGTTTATTAGTTCAGGCTCTGTGCCATGCTAGAGCAGTTAAATGGCTCCTGGAACTGTTCTGACCTGGCAGCTATACTGCAGTGTTCATGCAGGGTTTTGTCTGAGCTAACAAACCAGGCAAGACCTGACCTGGCTCAGCACCGCAGCACTTTGATGTCTCCGTGTCCGTGGCATGGTTGATCTGCAGCCTGGATAAGATGTCCGTAAAGAATGGAGAGATTTCTGTAAATAACACTGAAAAATGTAGACATTAACTCTTCTATGTGGCCAGAGAATAGTTACTGTTGCCTTCAACAGTAGATATGGCTTTATTTTCTACAGTTTGCAATGTAAATGGCCTTTCTGGAGATCGAAGGTTTACACTGTGACCAAATTTCAGGCTTGAGAGGAGATAAAGTTGCACAGCTAATGTTCAGAATATGAGAACATCTCTGTCTGGATGCTGTCAGTCTTAGAAATAAGAATACTAAGTCTTGCCACTTTGCATGCCACATGCTGCATTATTTGGTGAGCCATCTGGTTGGCATGGCTTTTTAACTTGCCTAGCTCTTCTCCACTTCCAAATCTGTATGCTGTGATTGAGTTTCGTACATATTTATATGTATGCAGGTGCCTGGTTTGCTGGGCTCTGGGTTTTTTTCGTCTCTTCAGATAAAACAAGCATGCAAAGATGTGTTTGAAGACAAATTGATGTGACTTTGTGATTATTAGAAGGGAGAAAATCCTCAGTGGTAGATACAAAACAAAGCTGGAACTCTGCCAGTTAAATTTAACTATCATTCTCTCCAAAGAGGAAACTATGGCTGGTAAGCATCATTGTAGTTAATGATAGTGAGAGAACCAAGCAAAAATCAGGGTGTATTAGCTCCCTCTTCCTCCATTTTATAGGATTCAAATTTGTGATGCCCTCACTACTACTCAAGTTACTCTGTATTGGGATTCCTCTCACATAATAGCTAATGGCTCTATTTAGCCACACTAACCTAATCGCTCATATTCTTTGTTCCAACAAGTTTTCTAATTTTTCACCACTTCCTCCAGGTGATGCGTTCTCATTTTTCTGAGGTAACTGACTGCATAAATACGTACTTGTAGAATTTAAATGATACTGAGTTTGAGGTCTGTGTATTATTAAGTATTTTGTCTTGGATATTCCTAAATTTGTCTTGTGCTTTTTCTCTTTTGATTAGCATTTTGTGATATTTATAGAAACATTAAAAATACTACTTACATAGTTTTTCTGTGGTAGCTGTATGTTCTTTGACCTATGAAGTCACTAATAAAAAAGATTCAGAACTCTTCTAGTCTTTTTAAAAATTTGTTGTGTTTTGACTTCATTTGGAGGTCTGTCCCATATATACTTCTAAAAACAGTGCTAAGGAAATAATACATCGACTTCACATAGCTTTGCTATTCTTTTTTTTTCTACGAAATCAGAATATTGCTGCTTTCTAAAGTGAGTTAGTGCTACAGTCTCCCACTTGTCATTACTTTATCCCCGATCATTTTACAAAACCCTGGCAAAATACTTGGTACTATCCCACTGTCATGGTTTGAGCTCAGAGGGCAACTGAGCACCACACCCCCACTCACGTCTTCCTTCCCCTCCCTCCCCGCCCCCCCTCCCTCCCCCCAGCACAGAGAAGGAGAAAATAAGCAAAGTCTCAGGATTTGAGATAAGGACAGGGAGGGATGGCTCACCCATTATAGTCATGGGCAAAGGCAGACTCCTTAGAGGAGGAAAAAAAGAGCATAAGTTTAATACAGACACTAATAACAACAACACTTAACAGAGTAGGACAGTGAGAAGCATTACCACATCCTGAAAATACCTTCTCCCAGCCTTCCCTCCCTTCCTGGCTCAGTTTTGCTCCCGATATCTCTGTCTCCTCCCCTCAGTGGCACAAGGGGCAGGGACTGGGGGGTGCAGTCAGTGCTGCTTCTTCTTCCATCTCTGGAGGCGGGGAACTTCTGGAACTTGTTTCCCCTGCTTCATTGTCGTCCCCCTTTCACAGGAGACAGTCCTCCACAAATTTTCTCCACCTTGAGTCCCTCCCATGGGTCACAGTGTTTCCTGAGCTGCTGCTCCAATGTGGGACACCACCGCATGCTGCAATCCTCTCAGCACTGAACAACAGCTGCGGGAGCTGCTTCTTCCCCTAGGGTCCCAGCCTCCTTTGGGCAGAGTCACCTTAAATTTACATACGGGGCCCCCCACATACCATATATTGGTGTCTACTCCAAAGTATGTCTCCATGGGTGGTGGGAAGGGGGGACAACCCTGCCAGAGGGTACAGGGGGTTCTCTGTTCCAGTGCACCTCCACCCCCTTTTCCTCCTCTGTTCTTCCACTGACCTTGGTGTTCATATAGATGTCACAACTCTTCCTCGCAACTCCAACTCATCCTCCCAGGTCCCTTCTTAAATATGTTATCACAGAGGTGCAGCTGATCGGCTCGGC